TCGTTACATAGCAGGCAGTGATCAATACATAACCAGAATGCAGGAGCGAGATTATCAGAGCTGAGTATATAGTTAACACTTGAACCAAACGGCAACCCTTGCAGTCAATTCCTAATCATTTATAATAAATCAAGAACCAGTATAGAAGGGTTCATTTTTCATTTTTTTAGTGTGAGCACCTACATCTAAGAAACTGGCAAACACGACAAATCACTGATTTGTTGATTTCTAGGCTTAAGCATAAGAAAAAATGTTAACACAGATTAAATTTAAAAGTGTTATGAGTACATCTTTTTTTTTTCCTCCAGAGAGCTGGTTGTTGAACATTTACCAGCAGACCCCTGGTTTGAACCCACAAGACTTGATGAAAAGAGGAAGAAAAAAGAAGAGAGCCAAGATGTAATTCCTGAGTAACACCAACACTGCTAAGGTAGCAGATGCATGATGATCTGCACCAAGCCTTTGCTGAATAAAAGAAAAAGAGTGCAATGAGATTAATAAGTCTACTGAAAAAAACAAAACAGTGTATTCCAAATTTTAATGGGAGTCTTTTTTAACAATTCGCTGTTTGGGATTATTAATGTCACTGCTCCTCTTCACAAGTGGAGGTGGTGGAAGTGGTTAGACTTAGGGATGACCTGGGTTTGAATTCTGCCTCTGACCCTAAAAAATTAAAACAATTCACTCACTAGACCACTGAACTTCAGTTTCCTTTTCTGTGGCATGGAGATAACCACACAGGGATGTCTTAAGGGTCCAGTAAGATTATAAACTGAAGCACAGGGAGGTTGTGATTTGACCTAAGTCATATATATAGGCACTAACCTTAGAGCTCTAAGGAAAATCAAATTATAACTAACATTTTTCTAAATAAAGCTAGTAATAGGGGAATTTGCTTTGGAGCCAGGAAGAGGTTAAAGTCCTATCTCTGACACTTAACTAGCTGCATGATCCTGGAAGCTATTTACCCTTTCAGGGCTCAAGACCCCTTCTAAGATCAGAAGTCAACTGACTTGCACTGCCAGAGGGATTGTACCTATCCAGGATTTCCCTCTACAAGCCCAGTCTCTATTACTCTTACTGATCATGTAAGTGAAAGCTCCTGGTAATTATTGGGGGGAACGTACCAAATGTACCCTCACTGAACTGAGCACAGGTCAAGGTAGAAAGTGGGAAGGCCACATTCACCAGTTCACAACTCGGGGCGGCGACACAGGCTGGCTCTACTTTGCTACATGCTTGAGTAGAGGGAGCTACTTCAGACAGATGGCTCTTAGCAGGTAGAATGGTATGTATTTGCTTCACTGTTTACTTTATCAGTGGAGGATCAATGTTTGGTTCTTAATGACATGTGCAAGACTTTTCAAATTCATGTAAAGGGCATGATTTATTTTCATGGTATTCTCAGCAGCTGAAATAAAGTTTATAAGTACCTCTTGTAAGATTTTGTTCCTATTAAATGCAACAATGATTTAATTTTGACCCTCTACAACCCATCATATTAAGTTTAAATTTAATAGAGGTGGAAAAACACATTTTTATTCAGTTTGGCAAGTCTGCTTTTCTCATGTGCTTACCACAGAAAAATATTCTTTTTACCTTCTATGTCCTTTAAAGATCTGTTAGCAAACAATGAAAGCTGGTTTCAAATAACTCAGAAAAAGTGGATTACAGCTGGCAAGAACAGCACAGTGCACATTCGAGTCACGTACAGCAGGACACGGCCAAAGGCCAACCACATTCATTAGTAAAGAATTCAAGTTTTCTCTCAAATACAACCAGTTTCACGATGGAGATGGAGGTGGAGGTGGGGGTGGGTTTCTTTTGCCATGACCTTGTATTTATGGAATTCCCATCTCCAAAGAAGTCAAACTGCTCTTAAATTACATCAAGTTAACGCATCATCACTGCTTCACTAAAATAGGAAACGAGCACAAAGCTCATCAACTGGTACTGGCTAAACAAATTATGGCATATAATTGCAACAGAGTTTTAAGATATCATGAATATGACACTCGAATACTGGGAGACTTCTACAAACTGATACAAGGTAAAGTAAACAGAATGAAAAAAGATGGCTATGCAAAAGAGAAAAAAATGAGAGCCTTAGGACTAGCAATACTTCCAACCCAGCATCCCCAGACATTACCCTGGGAAGCAATTCCTGTGGAGATGCAGTAACTGCTCCTACAGGTGCTAGAGCTCCTGCAGACCCAGAAAATAAAGTTCTTATAACCAAAACCTCGGACACTATCAAATGGTTCAATATCAGAAACATCCACGATTTTCTCAGTAGAAGCGATGTCGAAGACCTTGAGGACTACAGACATTTCCATTTGACTTGGAACTAAAACCTTCAATATGTGTTGCTTCCTTCATTAGAATGTGAGCTCCTTGAGAACAAGGCCTGCCTGCCTTTTTCTATTAGTCTTCCCAGTGCTTATTACCAGTACTTTGACAGGGGGTAGCACCTAAATATATTTTACTCCTTTTTTTGTATTTGGCTTACCTGAATACTTTCACTTTCCAAATTACATGTTGATCTTGTTCTTTTGGAAATAGTCAATTGCCCATCATTAATAAAAATGAATAAAACAAATTTATACAGAATAAAACATATACAAAAACAGCTCATAGTTTTTACAAGTTTAAAAAGTATATTCTTTATGAGACAAAATCCTTTCTAATTCTAGGATTCCTTGACATTTGAGCCTGAATCCCTATTTATAAAATGCGGATGATAATATGTGCATGTACTTCATAGGACTGTTCAATTCAATTTCACAAAACATCTTTTAAATTAAGCGCTTATCTTTTGCCAAGCATACTGCTAGGCACCAGGAATAAAAAGACAAAAAATTAAAAGTCCCTACTCTCATGCAGCTTACAGTCTACTGGAAATGTTTTAATTGTAAGCCAATCAGAAATATTATCAATAGAGTACAGTCTACAGGCTCTATCTGCTGTTCTCTCTATTCAGATCAGTGACAGAACAGCTCAAAACCTTGATATGCCTCAGTGATAATTTCGTCCTTCAAAAAGGGGAGGACCTGAAAAGGAGGAGTTTGTAGATCTGATACTCATCAATTAGGAAAAAGTGATTGCTTGGGTGAAAATAATGGTAACCACTCCATCTTGGAGTTTGTGAAAAAGTTGAAGTATAGAAACAAAAATCTAATATCTAACTTAAAAGGTTTTTAAAAGTATAGAAACAAAAAGTATAGAAACAAAAATCTAATATGTAACTTAAAGGGTTTTTAAAACTAGGAAAACAGTGGTATTTAAGTAATAATGGGGAACAAAAGGAGTATTTAGAAATGGAAGGCAAATGTTCCAATTTTCAAAATCGGGAAGAGAATGCAATCTGCCAACTACAGGCCAGTGACTTTAATTTCAATTCACCTATTATTCAAAAACTGCCAGGTAGGCAGGTGAGTCATTTTATTAATCCCGTTTCTCCCTACTTTCAGTGGGGTAGAGTTATTTCCAATTAACTCTTCCCTTGGAGTATGCCTTTCTTTCTAGCCACTTCCTCTCCCTCTCTTCGTGGGCATAAATTTCTTCTTTCAAAAGGATGATGGCAGCCTAAAACCCACTCAGAAAGCTACCTCGGTGATTACTGACTCATTGGAATCCTAAAGGAACCTCTGGTGAAGGTATTCACTCTATTCTAAAAAACTGTTAAAATAATTCAATAAATTCTCTTTCTCTTCGAATGAGCCTGCCTGTCAGTAGAAACTGGAAGAACAAAAGTTTGAATTTCCTTCTCTTCGGAGTTTTCCCAATTACTGTAATCTTAATGATAGGATACACAGACTTCAACAATTAGCCACAGCTTTAACAAAAAAAAATAACTATGGCAAATTATGGATGCTAAAATTTCTATATATGGAGAGACATCAAGACTGTTCTCTCTTACCAGGAGCTGTAGAAAAGTAGAGGCTGGAAATCTTTGTGCATTAGGCTAAAATCAACATGTCCCTTCCCTACTCCCAACCTATTATCCTGTTTTAGCATTCTGGTCCTGGGGTATCATGCTGCAATCACCCTTACGGGCTCCCAATCCCCATTGTTCTCCAACCCAAGATTGAGGGAGCAGCATGCCATGTGTTCTCTTCATACAGTCATCTGTGACCTCTCTGACCAGTTTCTCATGATTGTCTTTCAAACCATCCAGCCCTTCGCTCTCAGGGTCATCTTTCATTTTCCTGGGCACTCAGTCTGTCTCTCCTAAAAACAAAAATTGCAGGGATCCAGAAGCAGAAAAGAGTCCAATGCCTTGTCCATTCTGCATTGCCAGTTCCTGACAGTCACTGGAAAAGAGGCGTTAGATGGGCAAGACTCTACAATAGGTTATTATACAGTTGGTTACTGAATATCTAGAAAAAGGAGCGATCACAAATTTAGTGCTCTGTATTTTTATGGATTATTCAAGGCTTTTATTATTATTACTTATGTATACAAGGGAATAATTGAGCCACGGTATGCAAACAAGTCTCAGGGCCATGTTCTCCCCTAAAGTGCAGTATGGCCAGCTAGTCTTACAACTGGGTTGTGAAGACAAAGAATAAATTAGGTGAGACACAGACTAGAAAAATGAATGGGAAGCAGTGCCTCCTAGGAATGGGAAATGCAAAGTTAGAATATTAACAAAGAAAAGAATGGTTACCAGTACACAGTGACCTATTTGTAACTGGAACATCTGGGGAAGACACATTTACAAGGTGATCAGATGCTTTCCAAACTCCAGCCGAGGAACAGAATTCTTTTACATGGGAAAAAATATCTCTATGTTTCTTCATATTAGCAATACTCAGGATTTGAGGCAGACCTAAGAGATCTAGGATTTTCACAAGGGTAATGCCCTGATTTTCAATAAAAGAAAGCATATAGTTTGCAAACTAGAGGCCAGTGAGTTTGCCTTGGTCTTCTAGGAACATTCTAGAACGGATTATATTTAAAGAGATATAACAAACATAAAAAAGGAGGCAGAGATCACAAAGAGCTAATGAATGGCTTTATTAAGAACTGGTCAGGTCAGATTAATCTTGGTTTTTTGCTGCCCTCCCCCCCCTTTCTGACAGGTTATAAGACCACTAAACTCTGGAGGATAGAGAAATAAGTTGCCTAGATTCCAATAAAGCATTTGACAACATCTCCAACATTGTTTTTTGTTTTCAGAAAAGATTAAGAGATGTAGATTAGACAATAGTACAGTTAAGACGGATCTGGAAACGGCTGAATGGCAAGGCTCACAAAACAGCTGTTAATAGTGCCACCTGGGAAGAAAGTCTCACTGCTAAAAGTAAGGGAGCTAAAAATTCTTGACTTGTCTAATCGATCATTTAATATTTGAGGAAGAAAGGGGAGAAATGATGATCTGATGTTATGGACCTGATTCTTACCACTATGGAATAAGATTAGAGATCTGAGGCAGGTGACTGAGTATGAATAAAAAAAACTTTCGCAGAGACCTGTAAGAACAGTTAGGAAGTCTATTATGAGCCAAGGACTGCCATAACTACAAAGGATAAGAAAACAGCTTTTCAAAGCTGTGGTTTTTTGGGGAAAAAACCTGTATTTGGGGGTAGAGAAAGAAAAAACATCCGCTTGGAGTAGACAGGAAGATGATAATAAATGACAAAAACAAGTTGAACTCAACTTATATTTCCTTTTGTTTTACCTATTGAAGAAAACGATCTTTGAAATGAAGAGAAAAAGTTACAACTAAAAATCAGAACAAGTGACATAGTAAAGGGAGAAGCAGATCTCCTAAATAGCTGGCCCGAATGAACTAAACACTCAAAACACTTACTGTCTTTTTGATCATTGAGACATCATGGTGAATGGAGAAGGACTGGAAGCAAGCAAATATTCCAATATTAAAAAACAAGAATGTGGATACTTCAAATTATAGGTCACTGAGCATAACATTTATTTGTGGTAAAATTCTAGGAAAGTTTATTAAAGGGATGGTTTGGGAAAGCTTAAAAACTGGAACTTTTTTTTTTTATTACAATCTGTTATGTTTCTCATCAAGAACAAGTCAGGCATAATTTTATTTCCTTTCTAGACAGGGCTACCAGACTGGTGCTTATGACAAACTCTCTAATGTTCTTTTTGTAAAAATACATTTGATTGATGCCTTTTGTCTTTATATCACAATTTCCCACACAGTCCTCCAGGTTGAACCATTTTTTGTGACAAAGAAAAACAATTAAATAAATTTTGACATAGATTGTGTCTGAAAATATATACAATATTCTGTCCTGACAGACCTCCACATCTCTGTTCCATGAAGGAGGTGTTTCATTATCTCTTCTCCAGAATCTTCACCGGTTTTTTCACTGCTCAAGAGTTCAACTTCCTTTTAGGGATCCGTTTCATATGCATGTCCCCCTTTTCAAACTCACTAAATTTCTGTAGTCATTACTTACATTTGTTCTCTTGATTCTATTTACTTCACACTCCACGAAGTTCAAATAATCTTCTTGTTTCTTTGAATTCTTCCTATTCATCATTTCATACTGCACAACAGTGTTCAACTACATTGATATTTCAGAACTTTTCCAAATTTTTTCAACCAATTCTGAATCAATAGACATTTACCTTGTTTGTAATGTTTTTTTACCACCAAAACTGCTCCCATAAATACTTCAGTATATATTGTACTTTTGTGTCTATCTTTTTTCATTCTTGAGCTGTTTCCCTCATGCTATCTTCACTGACAAAAGGGAGATTTGGTTTGGATGATAGTAGGCGGTTTCAGAACTGATAAAATGACTGATTAATGGATCACGGTCAATGTGGAGAGATGTCTAGTGGAGTGGCATAGGGCTCTGTCCTTGACTCTGGATAGACACATATATCAATGACTCTGAAGAAGGCAGAAATGTCATGCTTATCAAATTTGTGAATGACATGAAGCAGAGGAAATGGATGACAGAACTGGAGTCCAAAGAGATCCTGATGAACTGAAACACTGGGCTGAAACTAACAAGATAAAACATAACCGGGATTAATTAATGTAATATCCTGCATTTTGGTTAAAAAGTATACCTTCAGTGGGAATGTAGGGAGAGGAGAAAATAGTTCATGTACACACACACACACACACACACACACACACACAGACACACGCCCCTCTTTGAGCTAAAGTGGATTGCTTGTGTGATGTGAAAAGCAAAATTAGTATATTATCTTATGCTGCTTTAACAGAAAATATATCCAGAACCATGAAAACAATTTTGCTGCATTCTACCCTGCTCAGACTAAATCTGGAAACCATATCCAGTTCTGGGCATCACATTTTAGAATAAACAATGGCTAGTGTGTCTAGAACAGGGTGGCAAAGGAGCTAAAAACCATTTTTCGGGAAGATCAGCTGAATGAATTGGGGAAGATGGCTAATCTACAGAAGGAGACTTAGGGAGGGCATGTTTGTCTTCTTCAGATACTTGCAAGGATATCATGAAGATGATGAATTAGATTTATCTGGTGCAGAAATTACAGGACATAGATTTGTTGGAAGAAAACCTTCCTAACAAATAGAGATATTTTAAAATGGGGGTAGGCATAGGGAAGGAGGAGTTTGAGTTTGTCAATGAAGTAGGTGCTAGGTAAGAACTTGCTGATACTGAAGACATAGATGGGATTCATGCTTTGGATGGTTACTGGTCTAGAGCCCAGAAGTCTCCATTCAGCTCTAAAATTCTGCTATTCAAAGATTTATTTTCCGTATCATAAATTATGAACCACATTTTTGCTCAGAGCCAGCACTGCAACTGCGTTGTTTTTTAGCAGATAGTTTAGGAAGATTGTGCCTAAGGGTCTTGTTAGCAATAGAGCTACCACAATCAACCTCATGATAGTTTTTTGAGTATCAGAAACATCACTGAAAACGTGTGAACAAAGTGTCCACTTTGCTTTTAGACAGCTTTATGTAAAACATCAGCTTACAAGTAGATGTGAATAAATCTCTAAAATTTGAAGATTGATTCTCACCTTCTCTGAGAAGCTATAGTAATTGTTTGGGTTTAAAAGGTTCTACCTAGAGTTGAAAGAAAGACTACAAGATAAATCACTTGTAACTGATTTGACAACATAAAAGACTTTTACATTATCAGATGATTTGGATTATGTAGCCCAAGGGGACACTGTAGATAATTAAGAGCTGACTACAATCTTTATCTTTGTGTTTGGCTTCCCATTGTATCTAGTGTGAACTGAAAATGATGCTGAATGTGAGGTCAAGCTTTCTCTCTCTCTTAAATGGTTTCATATTTTGAGAAACCATTTGCTTCTATTTTTATCTGCCTTGGCTTTCATTTCTTTCCTTTCAGAAATGAAACTTTAGGAATTTCAGCACTGGGCTTTTTTTTTCTGACCCTAGTTTCCCCACTTTGTATTCATTTTCCTTTTGCTCTCACAGTAGCCCATGTTACCCCCTTGCTGAGCCCACATTAACTGCAGAACATTTAGAAACCTAAAAATGCTCTATCTGCCACTAGAAATAAATGATATTTTTTTTGGTGACACTTCTGGCACTATCTCCCTGAGGTAGCAATGATCTTGGATGATTAAAAAGGAATATTTAGACTGAGATGAAAGCAGAAAGCTTTGAGAAGATTTAAATGTATCACAGTGCTTTCTTTTTATGTTCTATATAATGCCATCTAGTGGCCACACTAAATGTATCTAGGATTATGGAGAAGTAATTATAATAAAATCCATGGTAAGGGCTGTTAATCATTTTATGAAGCTTTACATGGAGAGAAGCTAGCCAGAAATGCTGCTGCCAGACACTAAATTTGGCATCTTTCACATTTAGCTGACTCCATAATCCAACTATGAATTAAATCTCACATCTTCTCTAAGTTTGCAAGGAACATAGACACACCAAGTACTCAACAGATGCCCCAACTCCTTGTGTAGTTTCATTAGTGGGAAGCTTGCATCAGGCTTCTTAACAAAAGCACTACATGAATGAGAGAGATTTCATGTCACCTATTAGTTCAAAAACCGTATGTATTTTATTGTGCAGCAGCAGGGATTAGAATGAAGATGGAAAGAACCTAACCAGAAGATCCGATGATCATCTTATCAAGAACATTTTAGTTAACACCATCTGTAACTGAAAGCCTACCATTTACCACGTACTACCAACCAGAAAATAAGGAAGCTACTGCTGCTGATGAGGTCAGTAGGTTCACTGGCATTTCTCTCAATAGTAGATACACAGTAAGTGGTCTCTGTATTTTATGTTTCTGCACCGCTGCCAACAAAAATTCCACTACTATTCTAAGCTCAGGGGATCAGAATATGGATGCAGTGCTCAAGGAAACAAGTTTGTTGACAATGAAAGCAACGTGGGGGATTAAGGCAGGATGATTAAGGTTTCTATAACGAACCCCAGAGTCTTATGGCACACATACACTCTAATGTGTTAACGTTCACTTACCCCTTTGGATTTCACACACATACAGTTTCTGAGAACTGGACAGCTGATTCTGATGTTCCTCCAGCTTTCAAACACCACCTGCGGAAAGACAAGAAAAGACAAGGAAATGGCCCAAAGTCTCACTTTAGAAGGGAGCTTCTTCTACCAACTGCCATATAACATTAGAGTTCCTGACCACTTTATCAGTGCTACAGCAGCCCAACTTCTGGTACCACCATGTGATTAAGTGGGATGTTTCTCTCTGAATTTTAAGTTCCTTGAGGGAAGGAATTGCTTCTGTATACCCTCATGGGAATGGCCTACAAGTGAGCATAAGTGTTCTGAATGGATAAACAAATAAATGTTCCTCCCTGATCCATGATCTAAAACCAGCAACTGGCATCTCTTGCCTCTTCGTGGGATGTCCAAAGAATCCATTACTTTCCTCCAAGCTTCAGTGGGCTTTTCCAGCACTGAAGAAACAGTGCTGTTACTTTTAAAGACATCCGAAGAGATACAGACTAAAAACTGCTTGTCTATTTATGAACTCTCAGATGGCTAGGACCATTGCCCACGGCTTAAAGTTCTGTCAATGGTGAAGTCTACACCACTTTGTCCTCTTCACAGAATATAAACTTCTTGGAATTGAAGAACATAGTCATCATTTTATATGACCTTTCAAAGACTCATAACGTACTTTACAAACATGAGCTCATTTGACAATCACAGAAACATTGTGAAGCAAGTTCTATATTCATTCCTTATTTTACAGATAAGGAAACTGTAGGCAGAAAGGTTAAGTGACTTGTCCCTGACCACACAAGGAGTCAATACGGGAGGAAAGATTTGAAACCTGGCATCTCTGATTCCAAGTGTGGAAGTCTTTCCACTATATTGTGTTGCTTACATGACTCAATATTCATTGGAACAATTTTCAAGGGAGCAAAAGGTGGATGGACAACTCACAAAATATTGGAACCAGATGAACACGGTTTACAGAAGTTCAATCAAGGCAGGCCAGTAGTGATGATAAGCATTTGGTGGCAGTGTGCTGCAATACGTAATTCTTCGGAAAGGTGTTCCTCCACTACTGACTCTGTAATTATTAATGTTTTTATTTTTACATCACAGGTCTTTCTGGAAATACACTCATTCTTCCCCCCTTTTATTCCTGCACTTCCAGAATTGAATCCCCCTCCGTAACAAAACCATTTAAGCAAAAATACCCAACATAGTGACCTCACTTGATAATGTATGTAACATTTTGCTTTAGTATTGCATTATCTGTCAAAAGAAGAGAGTATATTAATTATCAATTCAAGTATTATGGGTTTTCTTTCCATAAATGTATTATTTTTCTGGTTTTGCTTATTCCATTGTATGTCAGTTTATACAAATCTTCCCATGTTTCTCTAAATTCTACATGTTCATCCTATTTAACCCTTACTGCCTAATTTATCTCACAGAAAAGTAGTGTTTCTCTGGATATTGTGAAATACCTAAATATTAGAATAAGCTTATAGCCCACATCTTCAAATAACTCAAGTTTGTGTCTGCTCCCCTAGAAAAAAACAACTTTCTCATTACTGCGCATTACTCTTTTGAGACTTAGCTGACCTCCCATTTAGTTATCAATACAGGAACCGCTGGGTTCCAGATAAAGATTCTGATACAAATTATCAGGCAAAGAGCCCAAAACACTGATATAAAGTACTCAGAATCAGGAATTCTTCCTTTCCTCTCCCTCTCTCTACCCGGGACAAAAAAGTTGGCATACATGTATATGTTAATACCTATAATGAATAGATGGGGAAGGTAGACTAAGAAGAACTACTTGGTAATGAGAAGTATAACCAAAAACAATCTCAAAGTTGAAAGGAAAATGGGAGATAAACTAGTCCACCCCTTACTTGACACATAATTCTCCCGCAACAACATCCCTGAGAAGCCGTTGCCCAAGCCCTGTTTAAACAATACAATCCCGAGGAATGCACTCAAGGGGAGCCACTTCCATTTTAGACAGCTCTAATTGTTGGGGAGTTCTTTGTTACACCACACAAAAAATTCTGCCTTCTTTTAACTTTTCCCTATTGGTCCTACAAGTTCTGCCCCTAAAGCTAAACAGAACAAGCCTAATCCTCCACAATGGCACTTTACATAGTTGAAATCACTGGCTATACACCCCCAATTTATGAAATTGATGACAATGAGCAGAGAGTAAAGTCCTTTAATTGCAGCACAGTGGCTAAACCTGACATGCAACCACGCTCTCTCTTACAGCACTCATCTTTTAGATTTTTCTCATAACTAAAGACACAAAAGGGGATGGATCTTTTCAGGTCATCTGAATGAAGTTCTGGAACAAGTATTCCATTGACTTAGTAAATAATGTGACTATCCTTACTATTAAATCAGAGTCATCGGTTTGAGCTTTGCCAGGGAAGGCCATTAGTTTCTAAGCGTAGAGCTCTTACTGGCATTGCTCTGATGCCCCAGGGTTTTCAGAGAGACTCCAAATCCTGTCTCATCATTTGGAAGTGGAAGGCTGCTCGAAGAAAGACAGACATATTGATCAAAAATACAGCACAGATGCCAAATGTTTGAAAACTCTCTCCAGGATAAGGATGATCTAGCTAGAAGATGCCAAGCAGAATCAGATTTGATGCAAAATTGTGTGAACTGGCAAGAATTAAAAAGAAAAACCTCTAATAGTCCAAAAGCTTTTGGCATGATGGAGTGATTTCTTGAGTTTTACCAGTTAAAATCTTGTTTTTTTGTTGCATTTCTTTTTCTGTCTGACACTTAGATTTTATATATATATATATACACATATGTAATGTTTCCAATTTACCTGCGTAAGTACACATGCATGTGTTTATTCTTCTCTTTAGCTTCTGAGTTCTATGAGGGTAGCCTCACTCTCTGAATTCCTGTCAATCCCTGCAGCTATTTCTGTGTTTCTTTGCATAAATGTTCTTCCACAAATGTTCCAAAGGATTACACTGAGCTTTTTTAAGGGACCACCACAGAATAAGATGCTCACAGTAAACCATTTTCAATTAACAGTATTATTCTTCATACTTAGCCCAAATTCCTCACGCTATAATTAATGTCTATGTCCCATTGTATGGTCCTCCGGAGGAAGGGAGAACAGCTGATCACCATCTTCTGTATAATGACCTATGCATGTATTTGTGGGTGATATATTCTAGATAGTGTTATACAGCCTAATATTAGACTGATAATAGGCCTTAACTTTTACAAAGTACTATGAGTATTAGTATATATTATTCTTTCTTCTAGATGTTTACAAATGATTTTTTAACCTACATTTTTCCCAGATTAACTTGAATCTCGAGCCTCCTACAACGTACAAACAGAATATAATTTACTGATAGTCTTTAGTCATTTCATCAACTCTCAAAATTGATACCTGATTGTTGCCCAACAATTTGTGTTAATTCCTTGAACAAAATGTTAGACAGGTCATCAAAATCCAGTCTTGAAAGTCTGATGCCCCAGGCTGAGTAAGACAGGCTAGAGTTCTACTTTCACAAATCTGGACCAAGTATACTTTTCACCAGCAATTTATTTATCATCCTTGAGGTTTCTGACTCTCTAATTCCATGTGCTAATCACCCTAAAAATGAAGCTTTAATTAAAAAAAGGATACTTGAAATGTCTGTTTCACAGCCTCCTCATTTTTCAATACTATTTTTTCAAGGGCAAGTATATTCCTTTCCTTTGTAGTTATTTTGTGCCTATATCGAGAGAATGCTTTTCACTTTTCTTCTTTCAAAGATATCCTGCAAATTTTCTGATCTTACCTCTAGAGATACTGCCTGCTTACTCAATCAGTGAGCAAGAATTTTTAAAGTTTTGTTTTCTAAACCAAGTTCCATGTACCACTCTTCTAACATCTATGTCAGAAATAGCACCATGTAAGCTTGAGAGTTCCTAGAAAACTGCTGAGGAACTACCTTTTAGGAAACTCTCCTGTGCCAACAAGGGCTGGTTCTAGTACATTCCTCCGGGATAAACTAGTCTGCTGATTTCCAAGGTGTAAACAGCCATATTAAAAATTTAATAATAGGCTCTTCTGAGTAAGTAGAAGCTAGCACTAGCATTCTTCTAGGCATAACTATATAAAAATGTAATTTCACGGAGCTGCTTAACAGCAACTAAGAAACAGTATACTATATAATGTCGAAGGTTTCAGTAAAGAGGGAATATTCTGGCATGTTTTTCTTTTTATTTATAAACTCATATTTAATAATGTAGTCCTTGGGGAAACAGAAAAATAGACAAACGACAACAGGAAAAACTAAGGAACAATACCTTTCAAAGGGATTTAGGATGATTAGCTGCAGTTGTAAGAAGGAATACAATTAACATTCTTTGTTCTTTACCTTTATTATGGAATGGATCTGAAATCTCTTAAAGACAACCAAAAAAAGAGGAGAGAGGAGGGAAGTTACTCCAAAACAGAGTTCATTTGCTATATTCTTCCCACAGATTCCCTAAGATCTAGTGAACTGGAAAATTCTGAGGCTTAGGAATTTGTTGAAAAACCTAGACTGGAGTTCTTAATGATACCGAAGAGAGAAACAGTAGGGCAAGGTCTTTTTTTCTCCTCTTCTTTAATGTAAAAGTAAATTTTTAAGGTAGACCTTTCTGCCCTCTTAATTCAGGCTAACACTGATATTTAAATCAAATTGTTTCATTGGATTTCTTAAAAAATAAGAACAATGAGCCTTATGGGTATACATGGAGTACCTTGATATTATCTTGTTTTTATTATTATCCTCAAGAAATTTCATGTAACTAAAAATTAGGGTCATATTCAGGCTTTTGTTATGAGAAGATGATGTGCTTATGCTTAAGCAAATTTGGTGCATCCCACTGGGTTATGTGTCATTCAGTGAGCTGGACTTACAGAGTCAGGGGCCAGATGGCTGATGGAGAAGTCTTTTGCTGGAATCCATCTCTATAGAGCATGATGTCGCACTGTACTTGGTGACCAGGCTGTCACTGAATACAACTCAGTCACGGTATTTAAATCACATTAAGGCTTTCTTTTATTTATTTATAGACCCCCTCG